AAAGAGAGGCATGTATGCCCCTACTTAATATATACTGAATGTCGGGACCGCAGTTGGCATAATGGCTATGTTGCTGGACTCCCATGTAATTGACTGTAGTTGAGTCCCGGACTCAGTGACTTAAACTCACGCTGGGCACATGTGCGTGCGTGCCCAAGATCCCCAGAGGAGAATGGAGGAGAAGGGATTGTGGCGTGGCCGTTCTCCCAGGGAGTGATTTTTTGTTTTCTGTCTCTCTGTTTCTCTCGTCTCTCTCTGTCTTTCTGGCGAGCGCATGTGCCCTATAGCAAAAACCTCTCAAAAAATATATATGTATGTGTGTGTGTGTGTATGTACATATTTTATTTTATTTTATTTTATTTTATTTTATTATATTTTATTTTATTTTATATATATACACTGAATGTTCGCAGTCCATGGCAGAAACTGAAATAGAGCACAGTACAGAGGAGACACCAGAGACAGTGCGGGAAGAGGGTGGGAAATGGCAGCGGATGAGAGGGAGGGAATCGAGGAGAAAAAAGAAAAAAGTGAAACGGTTAAGAAACATAAAATGGAAAATTGTCTGTTGAAGACAACAGGTATGGTAATATCTTTGAGCCAATATTCATCTCGTATGCTGTAATGAAACACAGGGAACAATGTAAATAAATACATTTTAACGAGGGGGAAAAGCCTGTGTCTGCCCTGTCATGGGGAGGCGTGCCCTCTGAGAGTCCTAGGCAGCCATGAGGAGAGCGGGCAGTGGGTCTTCCGTGGGGAGGGCGGTTCCTTGCCCACAGAAGGGAAGGGGATTTCTGTCATCGCTATGTTTTGGTCCTCACTAGGGGGGTTGATGAGGGCCTCCCAAGAGGCCAATCCAAACCCAAATCCAATCCCTTATTCAGGTCTTCCTTTCAGTTTTACCTATCACTAAGGACCATTTCTTTTTTTTTTTTTTTTTTTTTAAGAGGTTTTTGCTATAGGGCACATGTGCTCGCCAGAAAGTCAGAGAAACAGAAAGCAAGAAATCACCCCCCATGGGGGATGGCCATGCCGCAATCCCTTCTCCTCCATTCTCCTCTCGGGATCTTGGATACGCATATATGCGCCCGGCGTGAGTTTAAGCCACCGGGTCCAGGACTCAAACCGTGGTTGGCTACCTGGGAGTCCAGCAACATAGCCATTATGCCAACTGCTGGTCCCGACTGAGGATTCAAGATTGTAAAATGAGGCACTCGCAGATTAAAACTTGCACTTACTTGGGTGTCCTCAGGATTCGGACCTGGCATTCTGCTAAATTTGCTGTAGCTTCTGCAAAAGCCACATTAGAATCTCGCAGGGCACCTCGTGACAGTGGCCAAAGGTTTGGCTCCAGCCGGTCTGGGCTGAGCACTGCGCTTTGCAATGATTTGAAAAGCTCCTCAGGTGACTAATGTGCGGCCAGGGTTGAGAAGCATTACTCTGGGAAAACATCCTTCTTCTCCTGCACCTTATACGCACCCTCCCACACACGCACACACCACACACACTTCTTTCTTTAGTAAGAGAAAGAGGAAAAGAGATTAAGAGAGAAAGAGACAGAGATTTTAAAAAGTTGTTGTTATTATTATTCTATTATTTTTGGTCAGAATCCAAGAGCATTTTAATAGCGGGGCAGGATTCGGCGTTAGTTTTTGTAGCCTCGGCTGGCACGCCGGCCCTTGGCACGCTCAAACTTCCCGCCCTTGGAGCAGATGTAAGTTTTGGTGTGGCCGTGTGGGGTTGCAGGGGCCTTGCCGAGATGCCGGTATACCTCCTGGCCCTCGCGAGGACTGGAGAGTAGGACAGTGCCACAGCCCTTGGGGGAGTCCAGGGCCAGCTGGTCAAAGGTGAGGATCTTGCCCCCAGCCTTGAGGATGCGGCTGCGGCCCGGCTGGTCACACGCAGCACACACCTTCAGCTCGGGCACCTCCTGAATGCGCACATCTGTGATGGTCCCCACGACCACAGCCATTTTTTCTTCCCGGCCAGGAAGCTTCATCTTGTGGATCATCCTGGAGAGGGACAGAGGAGGCCGGCTGGTGCGACTCATGAACAACCTCTTCAGCACCCCTTGGAAGGTGGAGCTGGTGCGTCTGGCCAGAAACCGGTATAGCTTGACCAACAGCCTCAGGTAATCCTGGCTCTTGGGCTTCTTGCTTCAAACCTTGCAGTCCTTGTTGTGGCAGAAATTGACCCCCATGATGGCACCTTCTACTCAGCAAGGTCCGGAAAGAAAGCTAGTATTTTAATTTCCTGTACACACACACATTCATCGGAGAAAGACAGAAAGTGAGAACACAAGCCACCAGGTCTGGAACTCATAACCCTGGTCAGCTGTGTGGGAGTCCAGCGCCACCTGCTGGAGAGAGAGAGAGAGAGAGAGAGAGAGAGAGAGAGAGAGATTTTTGACATGATCTTTCCAGGTTGTGATCCTGGGTCCTGGCTCTCCAGTTAGCTAGGACTATAGGAGCACACCACCTTGGCTGGCCTGTATAGGTTGGTCTAGGAACCACGCCTGAGCCTCCCAGGTAGAGGCCAAGTACCCTACTGCTTGTGCCAGTATTGGCCGGGCCAGCGGCCTTTTCGATAGCACTTGAGAAGATTAAGCATATGTCCATTTTATTGAAAAATTTTAAAAGAATTATTTTATTTAACTTCATTTATTTAATTAATTTTAATTTGACCAGAGAGGGACAAGGTGAGAGAGAAAGAGAGGGAAAGTGAGAAAGCAAGTTGCCTGGTCTGGGAAACCACAGTTGGCCATGTGGGAGTCCAGGGCCCTTAATCACCACACCACCTGCTGGCCCCTCATTGAAATTATTTAGCATACACATTTTATTTCTCTGGCTGGGCCGTAAACTCTTCGAAGGCAGAGCCTGTGTTTGATCGATCCTTAAGTTGTCCTACAGCTGGCCAAGGACATGTGTTGTCACCTGTGCTCAATAAACATTTGTGAAATGCACACCTGAAGCTTAACTCTAGGGAAACACCACCACCAAAATCCGCTGCATGACCTTAGGTAAGCCCCCTGGAAGCCTGTGTAACCTCTGAGCCTTTTGTAAACCGGTCTGGACCTCCCTGGGTACTGGGGGCCAGTCAGGTGGCAGTCAGCTCTGCTGCCTGAGCTTGCCCCCGCCCCCGCCTCCTCCTGCCTTCCCCACTGCGCATTTTCTCCTAGGCACTTGGTGGGCTGCATGCTTCCTCCTTCACTGTCGCCTCCCCTACCCTCGTTCCATCCTCTTTCTATTTTTTAAAAGAATGATCTTATTTAACTTGATTTATTTTTAATTTGACCAGAGAGGGACAGAGTGAGAGAAAGAGAGAGATAAGGAAAGTGAGAAAGCAAGTTGCCAGGTTCCGGACTCAAACTGTGGTGGGCCATGTGGGAGTCCAGCATCTTTAACAACCATGCCACCTGCTGGCCCTCATCTTTTTTTAAAAACCATAATGTTTTAAAGAATTACTTTATTTAACATTATTTATTTATTTAAAT